AGGAAGTGGGAGAAGGTAAGAGATTAAGAAAAGCCTGGAAATGATGAGACACCCCCTTCTCACCACCCCTCCCCCAAAAGGAGTTCAGTGAAATATGAAGAGAGGGTCTCAAATTTAAACACTAGCAATCTGAATTGAATGGTAAGCCCCATGATCTAGAGCTGTACCCTGAGAGGCTGCCCAGTGCAGCGGATAGAACTGACCTGGAGTCAGAAACACCAAGGTTCAGGACCTGAAGCATACATACTCTGCTCTGTGTGAGTTACTGAGCCTCTCTGGGCCTCGGGCCTCCCTCTAACCCTAGAAATGGCACCAAAAAAAAGAAAAAAAAAAGGAAAAAAAGGCACTGTCACAAGGAAAGGAGGCCACTCTCTATACCAATATTACAGGGATATCACCAGCCCACTCTTACTCATGTAGCGCCAAGGACCCTTGTACCCAAAACAAAGATGGCCACATCTCCTTTGAGATTTAGGTGACTTTCTCTAACACCCCCAGCCTGACACTACTCCCAAACCATCCTCCTGTGATTCCTCCCCAAGATTGTCAGTTGAGAGTCAAACTTAGTTTTTAGAACGGGATATTTACTAAGTGATACAGTTGGTACATCCATGCAAACATTTGTGACACTCTCCCACAAATATACAGAGTCCAAGAGAAGGTCTAAGAGAAAATGGGTTCAAGTTCACAAAACACATGTGCCAAAGGGTGTCACTCAAAACTCTTAGGTGCTGGAAGACATTTTCTTTCGTTAACGGGATGCTCAAGAAGTTCCCCTTCAACGTAATGAGTTTGTAACCAGTTTGTCTTTGGCACCCAATGCAGATTCTGCTACTATCTGACAGAGGGGTGCCATTTAGGACACTGATGGGAAGCGCCACATCCTCAAGAGCCTTCAAAGTTGAAAGTTCCTCTTCTAGTCAAGAATGAAGGAGGAGGAGGAGGAAGGGACGGAGTGAAGTAGAGAGAAGGCCTCACTTGGCTCTGCCATTCATCAGGTGTCCTTCCCTACCAGGCAGTTCCTTCCTAGTGATGTGCCAGAAACCAACACACTCCAATTTCTGGAATTCAATTCTTTGATAATCTATAGAGAAGCCCGAGGCACAGCCAAGCTTCTCCCCTTTGGAACAATTTTTATGTGACTTCATTCTAACTGAAGGCCTTCTCCCACTTACTTTAAAGCTCTTTTGATTAAATAATTGATTGAAACATGATTTGGGTATCTAAATATAGACTGAGACATAGTTAAGGTATCAGTGCTAACAAGGGGTGGGTTTGAGAGTGTGTGTATATATGTGCGTGTGTGTTTGTGTTCTTATAGATGTACACACTCTTGCCCCAGATTGAATACATACTCCTTGAGAACAGGGCTTATTTTGTCTTTGTACTCCTAGGACCTAGCACAGTATCTGGAACGTAGTTAAATGTTAACGAATGCTTGTTAGCTGAATGATTATACTATTATTGAGTATTCTACCCCTTGGCCTACTCCTCTGTTGTCTCTTCTTGCTCTTCTACTATTAGTGTTGTACAATGCCCTTGACCTTCCACTTCCCTCTTTCTCTAAAGATTCTTGGAAAAACTTATATAGTCTAATAGGTTCAGCTACTACCTCTATATCCAACATTCCCAAGTTTGTATTTCCAGCCCTGACCTCTCACTTATGCTTAAATTAAACATTCCTATTGCCTGTTAGAAATTTCTACTTGGCTCCAAGTCTTTATTCCTTAAAAAACATTCAAACTTAACATGTCTAAAACCAAACCAAATCACCTCTCCCCCTAGGAAAAAAAAAAACATGCCCTAACTACCTTTTGGTTAATTATGCCATTTTGCAACATGTTACATAGGCTCCTTTCCTCTGCCCCCTACATTCCATCCATTCTTCAGAATTCCATATTTCTACCATCAATACATTGCTTATTATTTCTGCAGCCACCATCCAGGTTAGGCTCTTATCACTTCATCCCTGGATTATTGTAATATTTTACTGATTCCCCTAATCTTTTTTCTTCCTTCCAAGATATCCTCTATAACACAGCCATATTAAAACTCCTAAAAACACTCTTTTAATTGTCACTATCCTACAAGACAACAGTGAGCCATTCAAAGTTTTTGATCAGGATAAAGTCCTAAAGTGTAGCCTTCCATAGGTGTTCCAGCTGCTCTACCCTTACCCTTACAGTCTTTTCTAATAACCAGTACAAATCAGATAGTTCTGCTCCCTCACCCTCAAACATTACTGTCTCTACTATTTCTCAAACTTTCCACACTCGTATGGAATGTCCTGCCCTCTTCTTTATGCTTATCTAAATTTTCAAGGCCTATCTACGTTGTAATACCCAGCTTTCCCCATCTACTCTTCAAGATCTACCATTTTTCACATGGTCTTTCCCACATATTATGTAACAATGATTTGAACTTTTACGTTCTGTACCATTCATTATGGCTTTTATCTCCCTAAGGAGACTTTAAGCTCAAAGATGGGGAACTGCTCTCAGACTTCTTTTGCAACATCCCAATCACCTTAATATCTATCATGTTGTTATGCACATAATAAATACACAATATGTACCTCTGGAATGTGTACATATGTAAAGAAAGTATCTTAAGCAGGATTGGGTACTTTGGGAAAGAGGTGAACAGTTTTCCCAGAAATGGCAATTCTCTATGGTTAGTGGGAAAAGATTTTATAGTATGACTTAATTCAAACCTTATCCTTCTGAACTTCTTTGTAGATAAAACTGACCATCCTCCTGTTTGGGGGTTTTTGTGAAATTGACTTTTCTTGGTCATTTTTCTGCTGGACTGCTCATTCTCAGTCTAGGCTGCTGAGTAATAATTCATATCCTGCCCCCTAATTATTGGTGTCCCTCAAGGTGTCCCTATAGGCCCTCTTACCTTTCTATACTCTTGATGACCTCATTAGCTCCCATGAAATCAATTATCATCTCTATGTAGATGAGTCCCAGACTTATACATCCATCTCTCTTTCTCACTCCTGAGCTATAATACCAAATGAATTAACATTGGACATTTCAAAATGGATGCTCCAGAAGCATAAGCATTCATTATCTTTTCCCCAAAACTTACCTTACTCCATAACTTCCCTATTTTTGTCAAAGGACTATCCAGAAACCCAGATTCACAACACAGGAATTATCCTCAACTCCTTAGCCTCCCTCATCCCAAACACCCATTTAGTTTACAAGTCTTGTTAATATTACCTCCACAACATTTTTCACTTCAGCCCCTTTGCCTCAAGGCATATAGCAACCATCCTAATGCAGGCCCTCATCTCTTTCCAATCTATTTTCCACACAGCTGTCAAAGTGATATTCTTATAGCATAGATATGACAGTATCACTCCTCTACTCAAGAAGCGTCAGTGGCTCCCTATTATCTCTAGGATAAAATGTAAACTACTTTGATATTTAAAACCCTTCATAAACTGGCTTCAATATACATTTCTAGCCTTATTGTGCATTACACTTCTTTTTAGTCACTCTTCAGCCCAGATAAATTGACCTTCTGGCTGCTCCTCAAACAGGACACTTAAGCTCCCATCCCAGGGACCTGCACAAGCTATCCTCCATGCCTGAAAGATACTCTCTTTTCAAACTGTTTCTTAGAATCTCTAGCTTTTTTCAAAGTTCAGCTCAACTGCTAGGTCTTACATGATGACTTTCAGTTCTCCCTAGCTACTGGTACCTCACCTCCAAAAATTATCGTGTGTGCGTATGTGTGTGTGTGTGTGTGTGTGTGTGTGTGTGTGTGTGTGTGTGTGTGCGTGCGTGTGTGTGTGCGTGTGTGTGTGTGTAATTTGTTTACATTTATTATACTTATATAATTTATAAATATTATATTTATACATATATATTGTTTTCTCCAAAAGAATCTAACTTCCTTGAGGTCATAGATGGTGTCATTCTTGTACTGGTAACCCCACTGTTGAACATGGTGCTTGGCATGTCCCAAGAGCTTAATAAATGCTTGCTGATTGACTGAAGAGGACATCATGAGATATAAGAAATAAAGTTCCATATTAGAACTAATATACACACATAGTTACAGGGCCTACAACCACTACAGCTTTGTAGCTGCAGCAGCTACAGGCTTTGTGAAAGGTGACAAAAGCTTTATGAGCAAAGCTTTCAGAAAAGTTCTCCACCAGTTGTGAAATGATACAACCACTTTGGAGAACAATTTGGAATTATGCCCAAAGAGCTACAAAAATGTGCATACCCTTTGATCCAGCAATAGCACTTCTAAGGCTATATCCCAAAGAGATCAACAAATGGGAACAGGACCCACATGCACAAAAATATTCATAGCAGCTCTTTTTGTGGGGGCAAAGAATTGGAAATTGAGAGGATGCCCATCAATTGGGGAATGGCTGAGCAAGTTGTGGTATATGAATGTAATGGAATACTATTGTGTTATAAGAAATGATGAACAGGCAGACTTCAGAAAAACCTGGAAAGACTTATGTGGTCTGATGCTGAGTGAAGTGAGCAGAACCAAGAGGACTTTGTACACAACAACAGCCACGTTATGCAATGACCAAGATTGTTAAACTGAACCCTTCTCAGCATTATAAGGATCTAAGACATATCCAAAGGCCTCGGGATGGAAAATGCTGTCCACATCCAAAGAAAGAACTATGAAAGTCGAATTGCTATCACTTATTTTTACCTTCTGTTGAGTTTTGTTTCATCTTTCTGATGGTTCCTCCTATTGGTTTTAATTTTTACTTACAACTTCACTAATGTGAAAATATGTTTAATGGGTATGTAAATGTAAAGCTTATGTCAGATTGTGTGCTGTGTTGGAAAGGGGGGAAAATTTTAAACTCAAAAGCATATGGAAGTGATTGTTGATAAATCAAAATAAATTAATAAAATTTAAAAAAAAATAAAATAAAATACTTCACAAAAAAAAAGAAAAGAAAAAAAAGAAAAGTTCTCCACCACATACATTTAGCAGAAACAGGTACTCACTAAGCATGCCCCGATAATTGAGATCCATGTCCCGACTTTCTGAGCGCACTTTAATTGCATCCAAGATGGCATCAGGAGACAACAGTGTAGAAGGTCTAACAACATTCAAAAGCTCAGTGAGACTCATCAGGGGCAAGCGAACTGCCTGCATGATTTCAGCATGATCCTCTTTTGGATTGTGCTTACACCAATTTAACAAGGCTTGAAAAATATCCTTTTCAGGAGCTGCAAATGAATCTCTTAATACGATATTGAGAAGTGCTGCCTAAGAGGAAAAGGATAAAAAGGAAAATTCTAGTTAAAAATAGAGCCCAGCAAAGCAGATCAGTAAAGGATTATATGATTTTGGGTGCTCATTGGTCCTTTGAACTCTTCTCCTCTTCCTAGCTTAGCTCTCCATTACCCCAATCTTCTTAACTTTCTCCCTCAACCTGTAAGTTACCATCTACCATTCTCACTTCTACTACCTATCTTTACCATTTATTTAACCTCTCTATATTTAGTTCAATCTCTTCTTTAACCTGTATAATTAAAAATTTAATGAAAAATAGTAAAGCATTCAAAACTTGTTTTAAATATGTGAAGTTAGTCTTTTGCATGTAATAAAACAAACTCTACACCAATGTCAGTGTTATCTGCTTTCGGTAGCAAATTCCATTTGAGATATGTTTTCAAATACTTATAACCAGAACATTATTCACACCTAGATCAATCTTTTTATAAAACCTTTTACAATACCAGGTACTGAAAAAGTTGGAGAAAATACATTATTAATAATAATGATATGATAATACCATATCATTATATGGTAATATATGATGATAATGATAAATTAGCATTTATACAGCATTTTAGATTTTAGTCCTTAAAGTACAGGGTAAACTGAATTTATTTAGTCTAGGAACAGAGGAGTCACAGTTAACTACAGCATATAGATATATAAGCAAATAAATGTGTGTGTGTCTGCTGATATGATTACATATCAGATATAGATATATCAACGATATAGATACAGATATAGATACAGATACAGATATAGATGTCAACAGCTTTGTTATTTGTCTTATATAAAGCCAAGAAATAAAAGGTATAAGGAGAGAGTTTAGGTTGGTCAATGGGGAGATTTTTCCTGACTGTAAGGTTTTAAAGTTTCATTCTCTGAAATACTTTGTTTTTTAAGAGCCAGATTAGGTTTCTTTCTCAGATGATTTGTGTGCTATCTTACCTAATGTACAATATACTGCCTATTTAAGAATTCCTACAGAGTACCACAAAGCATTATTACATTCAGCTTTGTGAATGTGGGGTACTAACAAGACTTAGAACATCATTTTGCATTTATTTAGGCCACAGGATCATGTACACCCTTCTCTTTGTCTATTTTCTCAATTTCAGTACCTGCATCTTGTCTCTTTGGGAACACAGAGAAGAAGTCAAAATATAGTTAGTATGTGTCAGAAGAAAGACTTGAATCCAAGTCATCCTGACTTTTAAGGCCAGCTCTTTATCCAACAATCAGAGTTGCACTGTTTTCAAAAAATTGTTACTAAATGGAAGTTTCACTATCAGCACTTACTAGTCCTTTCTTTACATTATACAGAGACAGTAGCAGCCAGAACTGACAATTCTTTATGGGACCAAGAATTGAGTATACTGTCTAGTTATCTAAAACCTAAGCTTTGTAAATTTGGTAAACTTAGAGAATCATAGGATTATAAACTTAAAACTATGGAAAGGATTATTAGAAACTTTAAAAACAAAGAAATAGAGACTCAGAGAGGATCATTACTTTGTCCACGGTCATACAACAAGTACGTGGCAAAGCAAAGATTCAAACCCAAGTCTTCTGATTACAACACTAGTTTTCTTTCCATTGCACCATGTTACATCCCACTTAATAAATACTATTTAATGCTCTTTGATTATTTTCCCTTTTCAATTCAACAAAAATATTTCTTCTTCTTGTGAATTAATTAATATCTGTTTATGTGACTAAATACTGAGTTTAAATACATTCCTGCAGAGACTGGCAGAAAACAAAGGAGAGTGGCATTGAAAAGGCAAAGAATTTACAACAATGATTTTGCTCCTTTTTTTACTGAGTCTATTATTATAACTCCATTTCACAATTACATGCAAAACAATGCATAACAATAAAAGTATTTATATACAATGACACACCTTAGAAAGAGAGAGGAAACCTTCACTGGAAAGTACCTCCTGAGCGTTTCTGTCCATAAACATACAGCACATACATGTGAGCTTTGGAAGCAAGTAGAGACTAGCAACATCAAAAGTCATGCAGACATTCTGAATGTTAAGTATGGTGCAGAGATACTCAGAGGTTGAATCCTCCAGCTCAGGAAATCCATATTTATGAGCTAGGCTCAGGAAGTCCAGCAGCACCTCCTCCTTCTCATCTGTCAGCGTCGCCCGTCCTGTGTAGATGTATTTAAGTAACATGGTAAATGCCTCTGCAGTGGTATCTTGGAGAGGGATTTCTGCTTCAGGCTGAGACTCTCGCATTCCACCATATAATAATGCTCTGCACATACAGAGAACAAATGCATAAGAAAATTACACCCTAATAGAATTTGCTACCGAATATTCAAAATACTTATCACTGGTATTCCACAATTACAAACGACAGAGCCATACAGAAGAAAAGTTCAAACAATATAATATATTAAAATAATTCTACAAAGAGGCTATGTAAGACAAGATGGCAACTATTTTCAATTGATGCTAGAGACAATTAAAATTTCCAAGTTCTTCTGACAGTTTAACCCAAATACTGCACAATTAAGTATACAACTGAAGCAGTTTCCCATGACAGGAATAAGTAAACAAGCTAAAGGTTGATAAGGCACCTAAACTCTGAACTACAGTCTGCCCCTTTAAAAATTTACAATTAGAACACCAAAGATAGTCCAAGAATTTGTATTTCCACAGACTAAAAGCACTAGGATAAAATAATGTTATTATTTTAGATGTGATCAAAAAAATATCAGCAAGGGTTATTTTATGCAAAGAAAAATATTACAGCTAAGTACTGCCAGTTCTCTTAACTGTCATCAGATAAAATGTTGATCTCTCTTGTTGTTGACTGTTATAATTCCAGGACCCAGAACAGGATAGCATGACCAAGGCCAACTATGAACCCTACACAGAATGAGGAGGGTGGAGAAATAAAAGTATCAGTTATTTGTCCTCACCTACCTATAACCTGTTTTCTCTCATCCTCTGGGCCAGGCAACAATGATTGCCCCAGGAAAATGATCGGTATTATCTGGCACAAAATTTCAGAGTCAATAACCATTCTTTGTCTTCATAAGGATGTCCAATCCCTTCATCTATCAAGTACTTGCCCATGACATCATCACTGCTCTAACCTCACTTTCTTCTTTTCCCAATCTTATCCATACAGTTTATTCATTCAATTCTACAATGTTCTCTACTCTCTTATCTCTTGGGGGCACCCCCTCATCACTGGGTCTAACTGATGCTGGTGCCTTGCCAAACTCTAATCCTGGATTGTTCCTACCAACTACCTTCTCAGCTTCTACTCAAGTGTTATTGAACGAAACTACAAGGAAAACACAACTGAATCATCTATGTCCACTAGAAATGTATGTTAATTAATCTCAGCTAGGCCCTTACTGCAGCAAAGTAACCTTTACTCTTCCTAGGTCTCAGTCCTCACCTATTCACTCTCTTTCACCCCCCATAACCAAGCTGTTGCCAAAACCTGTTGATTTCACTTTTGCAACACTTCTCATTCAAATATATCCCCTTCTTTCCTCTGACTGCCACCACTCTAGTGCAGCCCCTCCTCACCTCACATCTGGTCCACTGCAATACTATGCTGGTGGGTCAGCCTGCCTTCAGACTCCTCACTCCAATAATCCACTTTCTATTTAGCCACTAAAGTGACTTTCCTACAGCACAAATTTGATCATGTCACCCCACCCCGATAAACTCCAATGGCTCCCTATACCTCCAGAAGCAAATACAAAATGCTCCGTTGTGCATTCAAAACTCTTCATAACCGAGGTTATAACCTCCTCCTGACTTTTCCAGTCTTCTAACTTCTTACTCTCTAACACATATTCTTCAATACAGTGACCCTGGCCTCCTGGCTGTTTCACGAACAAAATACTCCACCCCTTGTCTTTGAGCATTTTCCTTTGTCTGTCCCCCATGTCTGGAACACTCTTGCTCCTCAGCTCTGCCTACTGACTTCCCCAGCTTCCTTTAAGTCTCGGCAAAAATTCTACCTTCTACAAGAAGCTTCCCACTCCCCCTTGTCTCCTCCATTAAATTGTTAGCTCCCTGAGCCAGGGAATGTCTTTTGCTTCTTTTTGTATCCCCAGCACATAGCATAGTGCATGGCACTGAGTAGGTGCTTAATATGTGTTTAATGACTGACAAACTGCTTCTCTAGCCCACCAACTTATTCCACACTTTGTCTTTTCTCAAGTCTCTCTGCTCTCTCGGCTGAGGAATTCACCTCACACTTTACTGAGAAAATATAAAACTAATGTTAGCTTTTCTTTCTCTCCCTCTACATTTCAAAACTACCTAGGTGTCATTCCTAATTCTCTCAATAAAGAAGTGGCCCTTCTCTATGTATATGGGATGGTAAGGGTTAAGTTCAGAATTTAAAAAAAAAAATTAAAGAAGGATATGACCCTTTTCCCTGCCAAACCAAATATAATATCTCTCTCTCTCTCTCTCTCTCTCTCTCTCTCTCTCTCTCTCTCTCTCTCTCTCTCTCTCTCTCTCTCTCTCTCTCTCTCTCTCTCTCTCCCTCTCTCTCTCTCTCTCTCTCTCTCTCTCTGCCCTCCCTCTCCAATCTTCTACAGCACACCACTCATCTTCCATAGCAGACTCAAACATCTTTCCAAACTTCACTCTCTTCCTACCTACTGGTTCCTTCTCTGCTGTTTCCACATACACTCAAGTTTCCTCAACAATGAAAACCCTCACTAGATTCTGTCATTGTCTTCCTGGCTTTCTCCACCTCTCTTTGCACTATTTGTAATATGGCTTGCTCCTCTTCATTCAACTACAGCTGTTCTCAATATTACTAATGATGTTTTATCTGCAAATCTGATGGCCTCTTCTCAACCTTTATCCTTCTTCCCCTCTCTGCAGCATCTAGCCTTGATGCCTATCCTCTCCATCTGGTTATTCTTTCTTCAACAGATCTTTGTGACAGTGTCCACTCTTGGTCTTTTTTCTCCTACCTTTCTGGCTATTCTTTCTCAGTATCCTTTACTAGTTCATTCTCCATATTATGCCCCCTAACTGAGTGTTCCCCCAAACCCTCTCCTGAGCTCTCTTCTGATCTCTCTCTACTCTCTAGTGCAGTGATCTCATCAATTACCTTAGTTTTAAAAATAGTCTGTAGGCAGACGACTCACAAATCTATATATCTAACCCTTGTCTCCCCCAAGCTCTAGCTACACACAGCCCCAAGTGCCTATATTTCAAATTGGATTTTCTATGGCTGTCTCAAACTCAGCATGTCCAAAACTGAACTCATTATTTCTCCCTCAAGACTTATTTCTTTCCAAACTTCCTTATTTCTGTTAAGGGTACCACCAATCTTTCTAGTCACCCAGATTCTCAAGCTTAGCATTATTCTTGATTCCTCACCCCACATAGCCAATCAGTTGACAAATCTTTCCATTTCTATTTCCACAACATCTCCAACATCAGTTGCCTTTTCTTTACTCACACCCATCCCTTTCTCTCTCCTCACATAGTCACTATCCTGGTTCAGGTCTTTATCATCTCTATCACTGAAACTAATACAACAGCCTCCTAATTGATTCCTCTGCCTCAAGGCTCTCACCTCTCCAATCTATCCCACACATAGCTGCCAAGGTACAGATCTGACAATGTGTCATTACACTACTCAAAAAATTCTAATGGTAACTTACTGCCTCTAGGATCAAACAGAAATTCCTCCAGATGGCTTTTAAAGCCCTTCACAACCTGGCCCCAAACTATTTTATACATGACTTCCCTTCCCATGCTACCATCTAACGACAACGGCCTTTTCACTGCCCCTCACAAATAATACTCTGTGTCCTTCCTCTTTGCTCCTTTGCAAAGGCTGTTCCCCAGGACCAGAATATACTTCCTCTCCTTACTGCCACCTCTTAGAATACCTTGTTTCCTTTAAAACTCTGCTCAAGTAATAACCTTCTATAGGAAGTCTTTTCTGATCACTCCAGGTGTTAATGCTCTCCCCAAAGACACTTTTACCTTGTATTTCCTCTGTATATATTCATCTACATATGTCTCTCCTGACAGTATGTAAGCTCCCTGAGAGTACAGACTGCTTCATTTTTTTTTTTGTATCCCCAATGTCTACCATGGTGACTGGCACACGGCAAACACTTAATAAATGCTTACTGATTAACTGATTGAACCTCCCCTACTACAGTTGGTATATGTTTGTAAAAAGGGGAGCCAAATTTCAATTTGGAACATGTTGTAAAACAAAACCAGATATGGTATTTCTTACCATTTTCAAAAATGTCAATTTTTTGTGATAATTCCTTCCCTGACAGTTGTTTTGCTTGTAACAAGTCCTGAAGGGTCTCACTAGTACAAAAGATGTCCAGTCTAATAATATGTATAAAAATGCTATTGTGGAACCCCAGTCAATATTCATATTTAAAGAACCGTGACCACAGTTCTGATTAATAACCTGACCCCTTCTCATATTTTATACCCTTCCACATACTCTGTAATCCAGTTATGCTGGCTTCCTTTCTATTCCTCCCGCACAACCCTCCATTTCCAAGCTCCATATCTTGGATACATCTGTGTTGTGGGCCAGGATACTGTAAAGCTGGGAGGAGTGAGCTACCACTTCCCCCCTCCTCACCACACCACTGGGGACTTTTCCAAGCAAGGAAGTTGTGTTGCAGACCTGGAGCTACTGGGGTTAACTCTGCCCCCAAGTGTCTTGATCTGGGCCCCAGCTGTGGGGACCTGCAGCAAGAAGGCATAAAAGTAGTTTTGACAGCTTTGGTGAGGAACTCCTAAGACCCCAGAAAACCTCGTTAACCATCTTTTAACTTTCTTACCTGTGGTTTCTATCGGTTGTTATCCTCAGGACTTGTATTTAACTGCCTTCAAAACTAGTTCTACCTGAGGGTATCAGAATATGTTTTAGTAAAAGGATTGTTTCTTTGAGCCCTAGAGCTCTGAGTGATCCATTATATCCAACCTGTCACCCTCTAATCTCTGCCTCTTACTTTCTCTGGCTTTCTTTAAATCATATGTATAGATATCATAGTTGAATCCATTACAGCTGATGAGATCACCAAAAAGAGTTCTGAGAGAGGAAAAAAAGACAGACCAAGATAGAACCTTATTGGAAGCCAAATGGAACCACTATTCATGGGCTGTGAGGCAAGGATGATGATCTGGCTAAGCAGACTGAGAGAAGCTATCCTTCAGACAAGTTAAAAGAGAATGTGGAAACAGCAGTGTCACAAAAACCCAGGAAGAAAAGAATAACCAGGGTGGGGGGAGAGATTTGGAGTAGTGGTTAACAGTGTCAAATACTAAGTATAATTTAACAGTGTCAAATGCTAAGTATAAGGACTGAGAAAAGGCCATGGAATTTGGCAATTCAGAAACTGTTAGTAACATAGAGTAGTTTCAATTGAGTAGTGGGGATGGTAATAAGCATGCAAGGGGTGGAAAAGTGACTAAAAGGGGTGAGAAAGTGAAGGCAGTACAGAAAACTTTTTCTAGAAGTATGGCTGAGAAATAGCTACAGAATTCAAGTTTAAAGGATGGTAGGATCAAGCAACAGTATGTTATTATTGTTATTGTTGCTGCTGCTGCTTTGTTGTTGTTTGTCCTTTGTTCTGGAAGAGGACCACGACATCAGGAAGATGATGCCATGACTTGAAAATGAACTGGATATAAATGAGGGAGGGCTGGGCAAAGTCACCAGCCTCACTTTCTCCTCCAGAGCCATCTGGGTCCAGTGGCTGGATTTAGATCAGGACACATAGAGACAGCTCAGGAACATGTTTTCAGGAAGTAAGGAAGTAACCAGTGGATAAAGAGATTGGGAAGAAAAAGGAGATGACCAAAGGTGCAAATCTACTCAAGGTTGATCTGTATGAGATTAAATTTTCATGTTTAAAAATACTAACTTCCTTTCCTCAAAAGGTTTTAGAAAATGTCAAATAGTTTTCTTCACAAATTGAAAGAAAAACATGTTGTAAATGTCTTCTTGTAAAATCTATTAAAACGCTTATATCCAAAAAGTTAAAATCAGCAAATCTGCCCTAGTTGGCATTCAACTTTTGCATGTTGACAGAAATCAGGTGCCTTCCCTCTTACTAACCACTCATATGGAGAAGATGAAACTTTCTGAAAATGGGATAAGGCATTATTGGAATTATACCTTAAGAAAGAGAAGCAACAGGAAAAATTATTACCTGGAGAGAGAAATCTTTAATGGAAGTACCTAAACAATTATAAGCATAGTTAGGTAAATGAATGGAAAGCAACTCCTACTATATTGCTGACTTATAGTTAACATGATTCAAAAACATCAAGTTTCCATAGAAGGGAACCTGAAATTTTAGTTAAGCTATCAATATATTCAAATTTAGATAATGATATTTCCTGACCAATACAATAATTTCTCTAGACACTCTTTATCCTCCTTTACATTAAAGATACAGTGAATAATCAAGGGCAAGTTACCACAACGCCAATTTTTTCAGTGATGCTCTCTTCTAAGTCTTACTAGTCAGTGATAAGTACAGGGAAATTTTATTATTTATATAACCGAAAATTAGGACTTGGAAGTCACATAGCCAATGAGTGCATAAAAGCATAAGTAAGATTTTAATACTATTTAAATAGACTGTATAAAATCTGGTGAGTTCTTGGAAACAGAATAACTACGTAAAGAAGTGAATACGATTTTTTTGGTCAGGTCTCAGTCAACAATGAGTTCTCTTCAATTAAAAGTTATGACACTATCTATGAATCCACAGGACTAATGTAAAGGAATCTGATGAACTGCATAATGTTCTTTTGAGCTTGAAACCAAGAAACATATATGTATACATGACACAACCCAACTTCTAGGTGCTAGCAAATCAGGAAATTGGTCAACATTCCTTGAAATACAAAGTTAATTAACCAGTCCATTATGGAAGGAAGTTCTGGTCAATAAAGATATTAGGTACAAAGGTAGAATTTGCCTTTCTACTCCACCCCACCCCACCTCATTTTGAAAAACTGACATTCATCAAGTTAAGACAGTTTAGGGGTAGTCTGGTTTGTACACAAAGTCATCCCTAAGACGACATGCCAGCAAGAATTGGAAATTGAGAGGATGCCCACCAGTTGGGGAATGGCTGAGCAAGTTGTGGTATATGAATGTAATGGAATACTATTGTACTATAAGAAATGATGAGAGGTAGACTTCAGAAAAACCTGGAAAGACTTGTATGGTCTGATGCTGACTGAAGTGAGCAGAACCAAGAGGACTTTGTACACAATAACAGCCATGTTATGCAATGACTAAGATTGTTAAACTGAACCCTTCTCAGCATTACGAGGATCTAAGACATCTCCAGAGGCCTCGGGATAGAAAATGCTGTCCACATCCAAAGAAAGAACTATGAAAGTCGAATCGCTATCACTTATTTTTACCTTCTGTTGAGTTTTGTTTCATCTTTCTGATGGTTCCTCCTATTGGTTTTAATTTTTACTTACAACTTCACTAACGTGAAAATATGTTTAATGGGTATGTAAATGTAAAGCCTATATCAGATTGTGTGCTGTCTTGGGGGGGGGGGGAAGGTAATTTAAAATAAAATTAAAACTTTAAAAAAAAAAAGACATGCCAGCAATATGACTCTAAGATGAATCTAGTAGGAAAAGTGGTTGTCAGTATCCATGGATTTGGGGGTATATTTATGTACATATTCAATGAAACAGCAAGTACTAATATTTTCCAAAGTTCATTTTAATTCTGTAGAAAATATTAAACACTTACCGAAAATAGTGGCACCTGGCAGCTAGAATCACTCTGTGGGCTGGAAAACGTGTCTTTTCCACTATAAACGTGACATCACCATATTCTTCCCCATTTAACAAGGCACCAATATTTTCAGACAAGATATGCACATGATCGATTTCTCCCACCGCAGTGTAGGGGCGGAGTGGATGGCTGTTGCTCATTTTGTAGAACAGACAGTATTCACTGATCTATTTTATGAAGAATAGATAAAAATTAACAAAAAATTTCATTCTCAAAACAAACACACATAAGTCACAAATACAGACATTTTTTTTCCACGGATTATACAAATGAAAGACTTCACAATCAATCAAAATGTCAATAACTCTTTTATCCTGTGAATCAGCTAAGCTTTACTTTTGAAAGGCAATTCCATTAGTTCTGATTTGGAGCAGTTTCAACAATTTAACAAACATTATCAGGCACCTGTCTTGTACATGGATAGCATGACAGAAAGAGTGGATATACAAAGACTAGAAATGACAGTCCTTGTCTTAAACATATCTACCCATCTAAAACAGGGGATAATTATACAAATTGAAATAATAAGCACACAGGAAATCAATTAACAAGCACTTATTAAGGATTTATTAAGCCAGGTATGCCAGGTATCATGCCAGGCACTGGGAATACAAATATATAAAAGACCCAGTCCTTAACCTCAAAAAGCTTACATTCATTAAAAAGAGACAACACACACATGCATGCATGCATGTATGTATATATTTATGTTAAAAAAATAAATATAGATTTAGTGACAGTAGAAGGCACTAGCACAGCTAAGAACAGAAAAGACCTCAGGGAAGCCAAGACATAAATTGAGCTCTGAAGGAAGTTAGGCATTCTAGGTGGCACAAGTAAGGGGAAAATGTATGCCAGACACTGAGGACAGCCAATGCAAAGATATAAAGACACAAGATATAATAAAGAAAAGAAAGAAGGCCATCTTGGCCTTAGCAGGACTCCTCAGATGTCTCATTTCCCACCCAGCTGCACTCATTTTCGACTTCTCTTGCTTCTTCATCATCCCCCCAGTAAATTCATCACTCGGAAATCACATCCTCTAGCAAGATCCAATCACATCTCATGAGTACCCTCCAGACCTCTCATTGAAAAGTGGAGCCATAAACTCTTCCATTTAAGAAGGGGAATAGGACTGACATCTCAAACACATGCTCATTTCCCACATGGCTGCACTCATTTTGGACTTCTTTGGCTGGCTTCTTCCCCATGCCAGATACCTTTCTTACCCTACACCCATTTCAACTTTCTTTTGCATGTCATCTTCCCCCATTAGATAGGGCAGGGACTGTCTTTTTCATATTTGCATCCCCAGCATTTAACACCAGCGCCTCACACATGATAGGCTCTTAATAAATGTTTAATGACAACTAATTAAAGAGTATATGAAAGAGAAAACTGTATTACAAGGCTGGAAAAGTAGACTGCAGTAAAGGCTTTAAATGACAAACAGAAAGATTTATATTTTATTCTAAAGGTAACAGTAGTCACTGAAGATTCTGATCAGATCTGTGCTTTAGGAGCATCACTTTAGCAGCAGGAAAAACTTGAGGCAGGGAGATCAATTAGGAGGCTATTGTAATAGTCCAGGTGACAGTAAATGAGTGTTTGAACCATGCTGATGGTTATAGGAGTGGAAAGGAAGATACTGGTACAAGATTTTAGGGAATAAAAAAAAAAAAATAAAACTTGGCAACTATTCTAGGGCCTCTTAAACTATAAATATTTTGATTCACTTCAAAGTGGCTAGTTGATGGTTTCTACAACCGTTATGAGATATATAAGGGTGTGTTTGCTCCTTATATGTTCGAAACCACAAGTGTTTTCCTTTCTCACTGGGAAATATAAAATGATATTGCTTGCTACAGAACAGATATATGCTACACATAGCTACAAAAGTAAGGTTTCTCCAAAAGGCCTCTGATTCTTACTCTGCTAGAACAATCCAAAGCCATCTTCCTGCTACTGGCCAGGCAATTTAAAGCAAAATTCTCTGGGAAGTATCATAGCAATATTGACTGGCTACTACCTTATATGCCAATGTAGTTTTAATTGCTTCTTGTTTCCTTTCGTTTTCATCCCTGATCCAGTCAATAAATTTTGCCCCCATTTTCCCAATTAAATCCTCATAGAAACATGTCCGCTTGGGCCCAAATACTTCCATACTACCTGGGATCACAATTAAGTCCTTCAACATCACGCCTGTTAGCCAACCTTGAGTTCAAGGAAGCTACCCCCAAGACTTACTTGATATAAATGGCAAAGGGTCAATTAAACCTTCCACCAGGCTTCCCCATCACCTAAGGTCATAAAGGCCAGCCCACATTAAACAGTCTTGGCAATGTCTCATCATTATTCGAGTCACCCTACTCTGCTGACCAGTTTCTGTGTGGAAATGAAGAGATCTGGATAGCCTGAACAAGTGCATCCTTTCAGTAATAAGGCTGAGAGAAATGAGAAGAGAGAAAATTGAGGTTTTTTTCTAGGCACTTGGCTATGATAGAGAGAAAGAAATACAGAGTGAGAGCTTAAAAGAACAAGCAGGGGACAGGGTGGGTGGTTTTGCTTTTTTTTTAGGAAGGGGGAGACATGGATAGTTTACACATGAGGATATGAGCACAGACAATGGGAATAAGGTAGATGATTGTGGAGGCAATCTGCTGCAGATAAGAGGAAGGGATGGAATTAACAGTACAAAGAAGTGGCCTTGGTGAGGAAAAGGGTCACATCTTATAAAAGACCAGGATAAGAGAAAAGAGAGATAATTCAAGGGGTTCTGGGATGTAGATAAGGGAGAAAGAGGAGCTCCTGGTAAATGCCTTTATGTTCTATGTAAAGTATAAAGAAAGGGGTAGCTAGATGGCTCTGGACAGAACACTGGGACTGGAGTCAAGAGGACCTGAGTTCAAATCTGCCCTCAAACACTTCCTAGCTGGGTGAGCCTGGGCAAGACACTTCACCTTTGTTTACATTAATCTACTTGAGAAGGAAAGGGCAAACCACTCCAGTAATCTTTGCCAGAAAACCCATGGACAGTATGGCCCATAGGGTCACGAAGAGGTGAACACAACTAAATGACTCAAAGACTTCTAGAGAAGGTGTAGAAAGAGGTGTGGATGGCTACCTCTCAGAGAGCAGAAAATATATGGAACAGCTGCTGTTGGAGAGTATGAAAATCAATTGGGAAAGAGTAAAATGAATGTCTCGCTGCATCAAAGGTAGAGTTGAAATCAGATAACAAATCTGTAGTGAACCCACTGACTTCCTGGAGTGATTTCCTGCAAAACTACTTAGGGTATGTATGCAAAATGTAAGGAGGCTGAAGAATTCAAAATAACATTCCAGAAAAGACTTTCAACTATTTTGGCAAATACATAAGTAGAAGGAGATTAGTAATATAAAAGAAGGTATAAGTAAGGTGAATTTTAGTGTAGGTAAAATGGATTTTTTATTATTCTTTCTTAGAGTTTTCTTCCCAGGATCCATAGCCTACAACAAACTCTACTCCCCAGGTGTTAGATATGAGTTCTCACAATCATGGTTCAAAACAGTTTCTATTACACAGTCAGTAGATATAGGAGTGAAGTAATGTAAAATTGTGACGCTATTGCTGGCAATATGCCTTCTTCGTCTGTTGGCCCATAAAGCAAATGGGCACTGGTCAGTGATTCGGAATCCCCACAGGGGTGAATGTGCAGGCTGTAATGCTGTGTGTGCCTTGATTGGCCCCCATCAAGGCTTGGGAAGGGGAATCTGTGTGTTTGCCTCAACTGGCCCCTACTAAGGCTTGAGGAGATTAGAGGAGAGCACAAGTTGTGCTTGTCTCAATTGACCCCATGGGACAGAGAAGTAGTTGCCCCCCCTTCACTCTGGCCCCTTGCAGGAAGGGTTGTTAGGGAATGCTGTACGAGTTGGTGATTCCATTATCAGCAAACTCCCTTTGAGAAGACTAAACTAGAATAAAGTAAGCTTATTTAACCCCTTATTATGAATCTATTCTTGTCTTCCAAGGCTGACAGGTTCAAAAATGAACCACTAGTGAGAGAGGTGCTAGAAGCCCTCCTGTGTCTCCTACTTGACCAACAGAAGGTTAGAGAAAAACTCTGAAGACGCTTGAAACCTAGGCTAAAGTGTTTTGGTTTTTTGTTGTTTTTGTTGTTGTTTTAAATCCTATAAGTACTGCAGAGCCACTTAATGGTCATGAACAGAGTAATGATGTGATCTGACCTAAGGATATTTTGCCTGCAGCATGGAGGAACCACAAGAAAGGAGAGAGACCTGTTAAGAGACAATTAAAATAGCTTAGATAAAAAGTAAAGAAGGCATGACTTAGACTAGTGGAGTGGAAAGAAAAATGAGAAGGGTGTGAGAAATGATTTAGGGGTGACGGGGATAAGAGGGAAAAACGGTCAAAGGAGGTAACGTACATCAAAAAGAGCCCAACTTCAAATCTTACTTCTTCTGGTGCTTGCTAACTATGTAACCTTAGATAGGTCACTTAACCTCCCTGCATTTCAGTTTCCTATTCTGTACAATGAGGTGGCCTAAGAGTTCCTTTCTAGTTCTAGAGCTACGATACCAAAACTTGGTTTTTTGAACCCAGACAACTGAGCCAATATCATTAACAGAAAGAGGAGAAAGAGCAGGGCCTAAGTGGAGAAGAATGAAATTTAATCCAAATATTTTGGACATGTTGAGTTTCAGGTGTTAGCAGGTCATCTAAGAAGACATATGTAGTATGTGTCAACAATGAATCACAAATGCATGAAACTTACAGAAAAACTAGACTTACTAGAACAGAAATGAACATGCATGTGCAATCCAAAATCACAATCCATACACAAGTTTGCATATTTATAACAGCAGGTTAAAGGAAGGAGGAGAAAACACAAATCTCCACCTAAAGGGGTGTGAAATGGGAGGGGGAAAGGTGAAGTAAAGGTGAGAAAAGGACAAAACCCCTCCAGAAGGGGAGAGGCAAGGCCATGGCAAAGCGCATTCTTTTCCCTTGGGAACTTCTAGACCATGAAGATAGGATGATATGCTTATCTACAAGGGTCCCAGCTGCACAAACAGTTTCTCAGCCTAGTGCAGATTGATGGGTGCCTGTCCTGAGTCCTAAGGACACAGAGTCCAGCTTGGGATACAAACAACACATTATGTCAGC